CTCAATGTTAATGACACAAAATGTCACAATAAATGTTCAATTTTGAAATTCACTAATTAAAAATTTTAAAATAAAACATTTTACTGCTCTGAAATTTTCAAAGTCCCTACATATATGCAATGTAAAACAGAATAATGCAATTAAAACAATATTTATTTTTAACTGAGGATCCCAGTCCCACCCTCCCTCTATTATACAAGTACATACCTTGTTTTAATCTATAACATTCAAATTACAGAAAAAATATGTTTACGATTCGTCGATTCACAAATAGAATACTACAAGCGCTGAAAATAATATGTAAGTTGACAGCCTCACTATAATTGACTTCAAATTTTTTATTTTTAAGTAAATTTCTGATTCTGTCTTAATATATCGGATACATTAAACATAAAAAAACACATACGCTATTATTCTAAAATTAAAAAATCCCATTCAATTAAATTCTTAAAAAAAATAATTCATACTTTAATATTTGTTCAATTTAATTAAAAAAATAGACTGAATACAAGAAGACAAAAATTAAATTTCTTTCTACCCAAGAAATAATATCAAACAGAAATAATTTCCAAAATCCAAATTGATATTCGGAAAATAAAGACATAAAGAATAAATTTATACCATTAATCATTATAATGATTCATCAGTTCTCTACAATTTCTTACAGATTTTGTATACCATTTTTTTTTTTAAATAAAATTCGATTAAATTTAACTTACTCTATAGTTTAAAGTAACAGAAGAAAGCATTTTCCTATTATATTGTGTTTTATTCAAATAAAATATTCAAATTATCCACTTATAACATTCATTAAACTTTACTAAAATAAATTTTCACTAAAGTTAACATTTGCATTATATAAATATTTACTTGCATACAACTTGCATACAACTTGCATGCAAAATACAACTTTATTCATACATAACGTAAAATACATTCATACCAAAAAAATATATCGAAAAAAAAACTAAAAATGAATAAAGCCAGGAGTGAAAAAAGAGAAAGAAAAACGATAATAAATCCAAAACAAAACAAAAAAAATCAACGTTATCCTTGTAACAAACTCTTCCATCATTTACTATTTATGCTATATACAATAGTATTTGTAATAGAATATTCCTGCAATTTCAAAAGACAAATGTAAAAATAATAAGTTTTTCCGGGGAAAAAATAATCACATGGAACAAAAAATATTAGTCATAAACGAGATGATAAAATGAAGCAAGGATAAAAATATTGGATATTTTCACAAACATTTACTAATGTATGAATATATGTACGAATATACATATGCATGTGTTAATTTGAATGCAAATTTTATATAAAAAAAACTCCATAATGCCTTAAAATATTATGCTAAAGGTGATGTAAATGTAAAAACATAATATACAACAGTAAAAGTATATACTCGTACCAATGGTAAACATAAGAAGTCATTATTAATGGACATACATATTCATTTCATGCATTATAATGTGATGCATAAGAGTTTTATTACAACTATACATTCTATATTTACATATAGAATGTAAATAACAAATTAGTGTTAACTTTTAGAAAAATTTCACTTTCCCTAAATAATTTCTATTATAAAATCGTGTGATTCTCATTATTTTCTTTATTTTTACTCTTTTGAATAATAATTTAAATTTAATTTTCTCTCTATTTCTAATTTGATGTACATTTTTTTTACAATGTAAAGTAACCCCTCATATTATGATTCATTAAATTTTCCAGTTCGTCATATTATCTATATTATTGTTTCGGCATATAAAGCGAAAAATACTTATAATATGAAGGAGGTTACATTTTTTAATTATTACTTAACTAATGTAATGATTAAGTACAAATACGAAACAATAGAATACGGTCAACAAAATACAAAACTCGATTAGATAATTAAATATTATTTAATTATAATTTCCACGATATTTACACATTTCTATTAGCAGTAAAATTTATACTTATCGTAAATTTTTATTATTAAATATATTGATTACCGTCGACGCAAAATTTCAAATTATTTTTATTGAAACATTGTTTGAAGGCACAATAAGAAAATTACTTTTCTTTATTCCGTACATCTTTCCAAATTTCCAATCCAATAATTTGGATATTAAAATTAATTAAAAACAAAAAAAAAGAATTTGTTTTAAACATACTCGTACCATAAACTTGAATTTTATGTTTAAAATGCCAAAATTTTAATCAAACTTAAAATAAATTCCCTCCCATATACAATCCATGGGTAGTGGAATTTTATTTTTAATGCATATTGTTCAGTTGTCACTCCAATAATCAATTACCAGTACAATGTATGACAAATGAAATATTCTGCAAATTTTACACGGTAGTAGAGTAACTATACTTGTACATTGAAACATAATTAGAAAAAATATCAATAAAATGGAGTATACAAATACATTGTACATGTGCATCCTTAAACACAAATTAGAACAGATTATGAGACAATAAATTAGAAAAAAAAACAAAACACTTGACATAAAATGTACAAAATGTAAAAATTTTCTTCAATTTGAAAACAAAGACATTCAAGTTAAGTTCTTTCAAAAAGAAAATTCTATTGTTTATAAAAAAATATCTTATCCTTCATAGAACAATATTAATATTATAAATACAATCGTATTTCTCTAAACAAATAAATACCTTGAAAATTTCAAACAATGAATCCATTAAGTTTTCCATATTAATTTTTGCGTTTTGTTTAAATCTTAAAAATGAATAAGAATTTTTATTAAATGCGCCTTTAATTTTTTCACCTTTTTAACATTTTATTGTATGCATACAAATGATATTTTTCAAATATTCTTAAATATGACAATTAAAATTTCTAATTTTATGTTCGAATTATTAGGATATTTATGTACAATGAATAAAATAAATAAGTAAAGTAAATAACTGACAAGAATTAGAAACAAGGACTTACTTCTAACAATAGAACTCTTAGAAAAGAAAATTTTTAAGCAATATTCAATAAAATTTCTTGGGCAAAAAACAAATTACCAAACGCAAGAGCGTTTAAGGAACAGACCATCACGCGGATTTCAAGAGTAGGTACTTAAATATAATTCATCAACATATTCTGTAAATTAATAAATTAATATTAATTAAAATTTTAAAATTTTAAAATAGAAAAATATAAGAATGAACAAAATTAATTAGGAATTTAATTGCAAAATAGATTCTATCCTACTCGTATTTTCAAAAAAAAAAAACCCAAAATTTATTGAAATTTTTTATTATTTATTTTCAAGCCCATTTAAAAGTTCAAGATAAAAACCAATAAAACCACTGTTAGTTGCCAAGAAAATTATTATTAAATGTATTAAGCTTTCGCTTAGAATTTAGAATAAATTGTAATATCAAAAACATACTTGTACACACGCCTATTTACAAAAAAAAGGGTTAAAACTGTTTTTATAATATTATTCTGTATACTTAAAGAAGCGACAAGATTGATAAAAATCGGACTAAAATATTATTCATACAAAAAAATATTCAAATTTTTTTTTTCTTTTTTCCGAAAAGTTTTCTCACAATAGTTAATTTCAAATTACTTACGCACAAACTAATATACAATAATATAATACACTATTATCCTTTTTTTGTTTTTTTTTCAAAATTCATAAAATATTTTTCTTACGAATTCATTCACTGGCGCCAAAAGACTAGACTCAACTTAATATTTCTTATTTTTAAATTTGTGTTTTGTTAAATTGATTCTGTTTGTTATTTTATGAATAATGTTAAGATTTTGCCCTACTTGGGTTAATTTTTCCCTGTATAACAATACCAATTTGTTTGTATTATAAACATATATGTATTAAAAAAATATTTATAATATTAATTAAATTAAAAAATTTTTGACAGAACGAGCTCTTCTAAAATACTTGAAACAAAAAATTAAACTTAATACAAATTAAATTTTCCTATTAGTAATGTAAAATTAGAGAAAAACAATAAGCATAGAGGATTAAATTTTTGAAGTTTTTTAAAAGTTTTTAATTTAAATAATTATACATACTACTATAAAATAGTAGTACTTACTAGTGTATTGCAGAGATTTTCTACTTTGAACTCGAAACACATATTTAATATAAATCCTCCAAAATATTTTGAATTGAAATTTTCTACATTAAATAGGTACGTATTCGTTTTCAAATTAATTATTTTAATAGTAAAAATCTTCAACAAAAAAAATAAAAGCCTAAATTTTTACAACAAATTTGTTTGCTTTAAAAAAGGAAATTCATACCTCATGAATTAAAGCTGCTTCCAATTTAATGTTCAGTGACCCCAATATTTTTACCCAAGACCCATATATCTAGATAATATCATTTAATATGTTTTCATTCTTATTTTTAAGACAATTGCGAAACAGTCTCAATCAAAATGTGAACTAAATTTTCATCAACACTTTGATTCTCAATAGCCAGCTTCTCAAAAGTAACATAACTATACATGTACATGCGTGTGTATAGTAGAAAATACCAAAAAGTAGTTTAAAAGTTTTCTTTCTTTTTATTATCAACTGATAAAAACTTAATAAATTTGGAAAAAAACATTTGACATGGCGACAACAAATAACTAGGTAATTTATTGAAAACAAAAATATTACTTCAACTGGAGCATAAATTTCCCATAATTATTACTCGTATATAACTCATAATTTTTATAATAAACAAAAAGAATTAAAACTGACCTTTGTTTATATACTAAGGTAACCAATTCAAAAAATCTGATTTTGCCATGTTTTCAATAATTTCAATCAATGGATTGTATACAAAACTTAATAAAATCATTTCGGTTTGCATTTAGAATGAAAACCTTACTTACAACTAAATTTATATTTTGTTGAATTACAAATGTATGTTATAATATACATACTTATATTTTTACAATTCAGCATTTTTTGTTTTAAATATTTATCTACATATGTTATATAACCTACAATAAAAAAATTTATTTTTTATTTTCAGATTTATTTTATTATTTAGATGCAAAAAAATGTTATGTTTGTGGACCAAGCCCTCATGATCTGTTAGAGAACTTAAATATAACTACATTAACAAATAATTGTACAGATTTAGATCATTTATGGAAATTAAAGAAAACTGTATTGGCACAAGAAACATTTGGTCGTGAATGTCCTGAAGACTATAAAAGTTGTCTATTGCAAAGAGATGGTAAAAAGGAAATATTTAAATATGTTCATCCAATATAATTTCTAAAATTTATATAATTGAATCAAGAATTCAAAGTATTAAAACATATATTTTTCATTTTTATTATTTTTTTTTCATTAGGAAACCGTAAAATCACAATCAGATCATGTGAAAAATTACAATTAGAAGATTGTCAAAAAGCAAATAATGTTACATATTGCTATTGTCTTAATGACTATTGCAATTATGAAAATGTTCCTGATCAACCTCATATATTAACATCAAAGGATAGACGACAACAGCAACAACAATTACACCATTCAATATCAGATGAAATTAATGATGATGAAGATTTAAATGATGATGAAGAAGCATCTGGTTCTAAAGAACAGAATACACGTAGAGATAATTCTGGTTTTACAACAAAATCTTCTGATAAAACAAAAACAAAGAAGAATTCTGCATCAAGATCATTATCATCATTAACATTCATTGAAATTTTATATTACTTAGCTTTAACGATCATTAATGATATTCGAATTTCTTAATAACATTTAAATAAAGATGAAAAATCCAAAATAAAATGAAAAACATTCCATAAATATAAAGAATTGTAACATTGTGGAAATATCAAATTCCTATAAATATTGCTTGGCATTAAGTAGACTTCTAATACTTAAGACGAATAATTACTAATATCACTTCGTTAATAGATTAAAAAATTCTACTTTTCTTTAATAGTTTTCAACATTCCATTGGATTAATTAAAGCCTATTATTAGGTAAAACATTTTGTAATATTTTGTCTCTTCTATGTAATAATTTGATTTAATAAAATTAAAGAAATAGAATTCTATCAAATAACGAACGGATATTAGGATAATGAATCTCATTTATGAATTGAGATTAATGGAAAACAAAAAGAATAAATTTTTAAAATACATATATACTTAATGAATTTAAAGTTTAAAATTCTATTTATAAAACAGAAACGCTTGTAATTGTATGCCAAAATAACAAAAAAAAAATGTATAAAATATAATTTATGCAAAAAATACAATTTAAGAAAAAAGAATAAAATTTAAAAAAAAATGCATTTTGAATAGTAAAGGGAAATTAAAACTTACCATCAAAGAAGACGTCCTGATAATGTATAAATTCTTTCTCTAAATTCTCCTTTTCTTTGTTTTCCCAATTTGTTTTCATTGCCTCATATTTCGTACGAACTGATGCTTCAAGACTACTCATACTTCCAGGAGGTGCTGCTACCGGAACCTGATTTGTAGACGATGGATTTGGCTACAACGAATTAAATAAAACATTGATATTAGCATATAAAAATATTTCCTAATAATTATGCATTAAAAATTTAACATTTTTTTCATAAATGTTTTTCATATTTTAAAACTGCTTCAGTTTTATTTTCATCATTTTTATTATTATTAGAATTGTTCTCATCGTCAATTTGCAATAACTTATATCTGACCACAAAGTTGGCTTTTCATTCAATAACGCTTCCATCATTAGTTTATTTAAGCCCATTCCAATAATTTAATTTTATTCAATTTAAAATTTCATTTAATTCAATTTTCATAATTACAATTATTTTTAAATATGTACATAATTTCAAAAAAATATCAATCACAAAATAATTGGTTTACTGAGATCATTTTTTAATTATTAAATAAAAACTTGTAGTCAGACATAATTCAAAGTTGAATTTGTGACCTTAAATGTAAAAGTACTGTAGCGGTCAAACGGGAATTATTCTCTACGTTTCCCAACATTTTAAAGTCTATTTACAGCTGTCATTTCATTTAAATTTTGAAAGTAAGTTGACAAAAGTTAAAATTTAAAAATTTAGAATTTATTTAAAAATTAGACAAAATGATAAAAGTTCTTCAGAGTAACAGCATAGCAAATTGATTTTTTTTTTAATTTTATTAAAATTGTGTAATTTGATTTATATAGAAATAAAAATGGAATATGATTTATAAATTTTCGTATGGAATACTGAAAAAAAATGTTATTTCTATCACGTTATAATATGCATTTTAATTCCAATTAAAGTGCATACTATGCTATTTTATTCTTATGTCCATAAATGTTATGAAAACAACACGTGTGTATGTACATTTTTACTAAAATTATATAATTATTTTAACAGGCATATATAATATACATATTATATACATGATCGATATAAAATACCTTCAAGTTTTTCCACATACATACACATATATACCGAATTTTATATAAGTTGGCCGAATATATGTATTTCGATGAGTATATACAATATTAAGTCTGTTATGTTATGAATAATGTGATATAAGAACTTGGAAAGAACATTCTAAAATATTACTAAATATGTAACTGATCCTCTTGCTTACTTACTTACTTAAAAAAAAATCATATTGTGATTAATTGCTCTTGGAAATTAATTAATTCTTAATTGAATTTAAGAACGTGAAATATAAATTGTTTTTTTGGAGTTTTTGAAACCGATCCCTAAAATTCTAAAACAATAATTAAGCATTCATTCTGATATAACACGTATGTATGCATGTATATCAGGCAAATCAGACTTATATTTTTCCTTAACAGTTCTTAAATTAAGCTATTTTATAGAAAATTTCTATTTACCAATTTCATCTTATAGAAAACTTTTGGACTATAGAAAGTCAAGCCATAGTCCTTCAGAAAAAAATTTACATTAGTTCCTAATGGAACGCATGTTGCAAACCGAAAAATCGGGAAAATATTATGAAAATTAAGTTACTTGTACTGACCGAGCTTACAAATTAACGTTTATATTTCACACAAAAAAAATAAAACTTTAAAACCACATTATTACTGCAAACAATAAATAATTTTGACATTTCAAACGAAATTGTCTAATTTAAAAACACTGATAAGAGCATCATTTAGGCGCAATTCTTCATTTCTAAAACAAAAGTTAATGACCAGATTGTTCCCCAAATTAGTTCAAGCATTTTATAAATTCATTTACTAAAAAAATTTTTCGTGAAAAATAAAGATGAAATAGAATCTTGCAGCAGGGTCAGAGTAAAATCGCTTAAGACTAAACACTATAAAAAAAAGTATAAGTAAATTTCTTATATTAAATGAGGTAAATATGTGAACAAGCAGAAGGTTCGTTTTTTTTTACTTTGGCTAGTAGGTACCTCTATAATTTTTACACATGTCAAAATCAAGGTTCATAACATAATATTTAAAGCGAAAAATTGTCCTAATCAATTTACCATATAATTGCCTTAAAAATATAATATAAAAAAAACTTACCACAACCTCTCTAGGTTGAATATTTTTTGCTAATTCACTATCTTTTTGTTTACAAAACACAAAATCTTTTCTTAAACATTTTCTTGTTCTTCCAAGGCAATCAGTATACTCAACCCTAAAATTAATTTTTGCTATAAAACTAACTGATAAAGATCAAAAACAGCTATAAAATACTTACCAATCATCTCCTGCTTCAGTTGCTTCATATTCCCCTATGAAGGAAGTGTCACTGGATTCTACATTTCTTGGTAATTTTTCGAAGGTTTCCACGTCGTTTTGTCCAGTTGTTTCAGCTTTATTTTTATTATTATTATCATTATCCTCCTCGTCATCATCATCATTATCGTCATCATAAGTGAACACGGGATCTGGCTTATTGTCTTGCTTCTTTTTATTAAATAAAACTAGACAGTTATCATCCGAATTTAAATTACCCCCAGAGGCTACCATTTTATCATAAAACTTTGCTTTAGCTTGTAATACCCTTTTAGCTTTTTCAAAAGCAGCGCTATCCTCGTATTCTTCATAATTTTTCTTTACTTCTTTCTCCTTACTTGTTTTATCAATTTTATCCTTTTGGACTTTAGGTTTTTCTTCAGCTTTTTTAGGAACAAATTTTTCAATTGGTCTTTCAACTTTTGCTTTTTTAACTTCTTCTTGCTTCCGCAGCAACTCAGCTTTTAACTGGTTAAGCTAAATCGAAAAAGTAATAAATCACTTATACAACATTTCTCACCATTTATTTTTTTAAACATTTTATTGAACTTTTCATTTTATTTATAGTATTTCACAGCAGAAATTCTTACCGAAAAGGTGTTTACATCAATTTTCTTTTTCTGATCGTTCATAGTAAAGCTTTAAGAACCGTTAGGCGATCAAAATAAGACTAATTTATAGAATCAGTTCAGAACTAATTAAGCGATTTTGTTAAATTCAAAGTAAAAACATAAACAAAAATAAACCGATTGTCAGAAACACATGGTTTTTGTTTTGTTTTCATCATCAGATGTTATATATTTTCGATTCTCGCAATACTAATAACAAAAATGACTATTGAAATTTTTGAAATTTCATCACTACAATATATGACGTCATTTTTGCATATGTCAATTTTTGTCGGAAAAAAGGCTGCGAGGCTCTCAGCAGTGCCAGTAAAAATTACAAATTGTGTTATTTTTTTCATGAACTTGAAAGGATTCTATAAAATACCCTGAAGAGTCCAGACATTTTAAAAAGCTAAAGCTTAGCAAAATTGAATACAATAAAAAATAATAATGGTGCGAGTACTTTTCATGCATCCCGATTTGGGTATTGGTGGAGCAGAACGTCTTGTTGTCGATGCAGCTTTAGCTTTACAACATAAAGGACATATCGTTAGTTTTTTAACTAATCATCATGATAAAAGTCATTGCTTTGAAGAAACTCGAAATGGTTCAATACGTGTTGAAACAGTTGGTGATTGGTTGCCTCGCAAAATATTTGGTGGACTTTATGCATTTTGTGCTTATTTCAGAATGGTTTATGCAGCAATTTATACTAGTTTAATATTTTCAAGACGTGAAAAAATAGATATAATTTTCTGTGATCAAATTTCAATGGGGATCCCATTTTTAAGATTAGCCAAATATAAGCCAAAAATAATTTTCTACTGTCACTTTCCTGATCAATTATTATCGCAGAAAGGGGGAATGATTAAAACAGCCTATCGTACTCCTTTAAACTATTTAGAAGAAGTTACAACTGGAAGAGCAGATCGTGTATTAGTCAATAGCAAATTTACTAGAAATATATTTCGAAAAACCTTTAAAAGACTAGACATCACTCCAGATGTGTTGTACCCTTCATTGAACACAACCTTCTTTGATGATACGCAGGTTAAAGATGATGAAATCGATTTGAAGCTGTCAAAAGATGCTTTTATTTATTTATCAATAAATCGTTTTGAAAGAAAAAAAAATTTAGCTTTAGCAATTGAATCTTTTAACCAGCTGCAAGCAGTACTAAATCCACCGGAATGGAATCGTTGTTTTTTGATAATAGCTGGTGGTTATGATGTTCGCGTTAATGAAAATATTGAATACTTTAATGAATTAGAAGAATTAGCTCGTGAATTAGGTGTTGCAAATAAAGTAATATTTCTAAAATCACCATCTGATATTGAAAAAATATATTTATTAAAGAAATGTAGTTGCTTAATTTATACACCAGAGAATGAACATTTTGGTATAGTACCTTTAGAAGCAATGTATATGACAAAACCAGTTGTAGCAGCCAACAGTGGTGGTCCTACAGAAACGATTATCCATGAATCAACTGGATTACTTTGTGATCATAATAAAATGGCTTTCGCCAAAGCTATGATAAGATTAATTAGAGACCGCCCCTTATTAGAACGTATGGGTGAAATGGGAAGAAAGCGCGTTCAACAGAAATTTTCTTTTGAAGCGTTTGCTGATAAAACAGACTGTATTGTTATGGAATGTATAAGTCAAGATAAAATTAAGAGTTCATAAATTTTAAAGAAATATTTCTATATTAATATTAGAATGCAAACCGATTACATTATAACTTGTATTTCATACAATTATTAACGGAATTTTCTTAAATCAGAGTAAATTTTGGATTTTTATTGAAAAATGTTATATAAACATTATTCGTAGTTCAGAGCATTTAAAACGTATTCCAAGTACAATTAGAAATAATTTTGTTATTTTTAATTCTTTATAATCAATTCATAGGCTTTTAATTCAATTTTAGAGATAAATAAGAAAAAAATTATTTGTTTTTTCAAATATTAAATTTTTGGAATGATATAAATAAAAACATGAGTTTTAACAAAGTTGTATGGCACAATTATATCAAAAATTAAATTGCAATTAATTTATATAAAAATTAATTGCAAGGAACTCGCTCGTGAAATATAAATTTAACCAAAAAATTTTTAGAACCCTAATATCCATGTACGCATTATGTAGTTAGAATATGTAGATTATTATACATACATACATATATTGAAAATTATTTCTACATAAGTAATATAATTTTTATTTTTAATTAAAGGAAAACTTAAAAAACATTTTGCACATACGTACAACATTTAAAATAAAAATAAAATTTCAAAAACACAATAAATAGCATTAGTTATTTAAAATATTATGTGCACTATTATATTACAAATTTAAAAAGACAAGTAGAATGTTATTTTCCAAATATTTTTATTAAAATATTATACAAAAAAAAATTATAACAATTAAATACTTATGTATTTAAAATAAATATTTAATTTAAATTCATTTTTTAATATTTAACTAAGTATTATTTTCCTTATGCATAATGAAATAATTCATTTATTAATATTTTTCTTTATCAGTTATATTATTCAAAAAAACGTTTGAATCTATTACATTTTCATCAGTTTCCAAACTTTTTCTAGGATCTATAACATTCAATTGTAAATCGTATTGTTGATCAAACCCAATATATCCGTCAGAAATTATGTAAAGCGTATAAATAATACGACCTTTATTAGATGGAGTTACAAAAGTTATTTGATGGCTACTTTTATTACTACGATAACCAATACGTTTTAAAGCAATCATTTCACCATTTCCCACACAACCTAATGTCAAGAACCATCCCTCATCTTTGCCTTTTGGAAATTTAGGACTGTATATTTTAGAATCATTACGTGCAGGTCCTAATCTATGTAAATAAACATTGACAGTGTATTCCTAAAATAAAGATATAAATTAAATATGTTTTTATACAGAACTTTTTTGATTATTCAATTCTATCTTACTTGCATTGCATGTACTTCTATCCAGGTTTCCATGGATTTCTTTCCATCAGCTACATATTCTATTGGACGAGTAATATCGAAATGATTTTTGTATGAACCGGCTATAGAAATTTCTACATTTAACGTTGGCATATCACATATAACTTTATATATCTGTTCAATTTCTGGTTCAGAAAACTTTTCCCTCAATGGCCCTGCCAATTTTTCATAGTTTTTTACACTTATTTCTTTTATTACTGGAAGCGTTAATACCGGGTAATTATGCTTTATTTTATTGAACACATCACAGTTAAACTCATCAACATGTGGTAACGTTAAAATTTCTATTTCATCGTACCAATGGGCTTGAATTACAGATTGCATAATTAATTGTATTTGTAATGTTGTACCTAACCATCCCCTTTCGCCAACAACATCAATCATTGCCTAAAGAATTTATTAATTAAAAGACAAATATAAAAAAATTTTAGAAAAAAAATTAACAAGCATTACATCAATGTTAGAATATTAATGATTTTCTCCACATGGTTTTACCAAAATGTTAAATATTTACCTGTAGCACTCTTATTGATTGATCCAGAACTGATTTAGTATCAGTTAAATAGTCAGAATTTGGCAGTGGTAAATGTGAGAAGTGAGCTTGCATCAGTAGGAATGTCTTTGTATGTGGAGAATCGTAAGTCAAAGGATCAACTTTTATTCTGCACAGTTTAGCTAACTCTCTGAAAATATAATTTGCATATAAAAATTTAATTCATACATCTAGAGAACTAATATCTCACGCATTATAGACGTCTTCATTATGACGAACCGGTTGTTGACTAAATTCGTATGCATCGCACATAACACGTAAGACTTCTTCCATTTTCATTTCAAACCTTAATGAATCTGCAAAATGTCGCATAGTTTGATGCGAGATATAATAATATGACGATATTCTGCCCATTGGAGTTGGATATAAAAATCTTTCATCAATTTGCAAACATCCAGAACTTTCCAGTACATTACAAACTTGTTCAACTAATCCTGACAAAAAGCTATTAACTTCTTTTGGTTCAATACTTTCTAAGCCATAATACGTTGGATTTCTCAATAAACGCCTAAAGAAATAAGTCCAAGTAAAGTAGTCTAAAACCGCTTGTTTAGTTTGAACAGTTCCGGCAACAATTTCAGCATTAATATGGTCAGGTAACACTTCTAAAAGACTTGATTCAACGGGAAATGGATCATATAAAAATTTCTTATAGAAATTTTTTTTAACGTCATGTACTAAAACAACAGCAACACCTTCATTCCCAAATTGAGGGCGACCAGCACGGCCCATCATTTGTAAAACATCAGTAATTGGCATATCAACGTAACGTTTTTGTTTTCCGTCATAATATTCAGTACCTAAAATTTTCAGAAGAATCTCATTTCATTTCGATTTTAATTGAATCACTTAATATCGAATTTATTTGGATTAAAAAGCAGTTCATCTTTTATTACCTTTAATTACAACTAAATGCGCTGGTAAATTAACTCCCCACGCTAATGTAGCTGTAGCTACAAGAATTTGAATTTTTCTGTGCAAAAATAATTCTTCACATGTCTTTCTATCTCTCTCAGTTAAACCGGCATGATGCATGCCAATACCGAAAGCCAAAGTTAGTTTTAAGTTGGCATCTTTGATATTTATTAGGATTTGGTCCATTTCTTCTTCTGGTATGTGTAAAAATTGTTTTGGATTGTCCTCTCCTGCTAAAAACGCTATTAAATCTAAAGCAGTCAATCGTGTTTGACGACGTGATGATACAAATATTAAAGCAGGAGTGCATGGTGAATACTGTCGAATAGCTTGAAAAGTTGGACGATTCATGGTAGCCATTCTTGGACAATAATGTTTACCAGGAAATCCACTTATATGAACTGACAACGGAACGGGTCTTACAGATGGTTTAAAATTATACAATCCCATTTGCGTAATACCCAGCCAATTTGCTAAATCAATAGCATTGGCCAAAGCGGTTGATAATCCGATTATTCTTAAAGTGCGTGTGGTGTGAGACGCTATAAAGTTTGTTCGAGAAACTATTACTTCCAATACAGGTCCTCGATCTTCACCCAATAGATGTATTTCATCAATCACAATCAAAGCTACGTCTCGAACATAATCCCTCGTTTGCCAAGATCTACTGATTCCGTCCCATTTTTCAGGTGTAGTTACAATAACAGTTGATTCCCTTATTGCTTTAATATCTGGTGTTACATCACCCGTTAATTCCACAACTTTCTTTCCTAATTTTTGTTCTAAACGAATCTTCCAATCATCTATACGCTCCCGAACCAAAGCTTTTAGTGGAGCTATGTAAACGATTTTCCCTTTTGGATACTTTTCAAAAACTCTAAAAATTGCAATTTCTGCAGCAATTGTTTTTCCTGACCCTGTTGGTGCTCCTAATAGAACGTTATTATCGGAGTGGTATAAGCAATGAAAGATTTGCGTTTGAATTGGATTAAAGTGCGTAAATGGATACAGGGACTCATACTCCTTATTGTTTAAAACACTGACCGGAAGAGGTTGCAATGGTAATAACTCGGTGTGAGGAGGATGAATTTCTGGAAGTATTAAATGTTGGAAACTCAATGCTGCAGATTCATACGATCCTAGCCATGTATCACTTGTAACACGTATTATGTATTGGGACGGCAAGGGATCTTTTAATGGAATTGTCATGACCAACTCTTGGGCATCTTTTAATATTACTGCTTTTTTTGTTAATTGAAAATATTCTGAGTGGTATATCAAATTGCTTTCGGTATCTTCAATCCACAACCAAAACGGTAAAGAGTGCTTCCCATGAACACGGTCATTCCATTTAAAATTTGCAGTTATAAAAATTCTGATTCTAAGCACAGTTCTTGTGATTGGTTGCAAATTTGCTTCAATCTCAACCATTGGAAATTCATGAGCACATTTTGATACCAATGATCCATATCTTTGATTCCTTAAAAATATCCCTATTTCCTTAGAATCCATTTCACGTAAAGCTAATATACTTATACCGCGATTTTCAATTTTTTCAATAATTTCAGGCCCTAAACATGTAAATTGCCTTAACGGGGTTTCGTGCTCCCACATTTGTTTTTCAAACATTTTGCTTATAGCGAGAATTCTTCCTGCTAATACAGCGTCATTATTTCTTAAAACGATGGTAAACAAAGCTCTTGCTATCCGAACAGCATTTTGAGTAATATACGATAAATCAGACACTAACGAAAATGATTTACAAAAGCCGCGCGATAAGTAAGTTTGCATCAATATATTGACTTTTCCATGAACGTTTTCGCTACCACCTTGCACCGGTACTTCAGAATATTCTCGCGTTAGTTCGTCTAATTCTTCAAGTTCATCGTCGCGAACTTTCAACTGTTGAAACTCATGTGCCTGGGACATCATAGCCAAAATTTGACCTTCATTCATAAACGGAATCATTAATTCATTGAATATTTCTACAGTATCATATTTAATATAAAAATGAGACGCTGTACGTCCTAAATCTGTTATATTTAAGTCTCCGGTTCTTTCATTAAACCGAATCATTCTTGCCTACAAAAAGAATTATAAACATATCAACTGAAAGAAAATTAAAAAGCTGAAGTTACCTTATCCAAACTCATAGCGGCAGATTTTATTAATTCTCTTCTTTTAACTTCTAAACTTGGATCCCTTTGAACGTCAATATAATTAAGACCATATACTTGTGGATTTATTTTCATACGAACAAACAAATAAGTATAGCTCAACCATTCTATGGCTTCGTCAACATTTGAAATTGTTCCCAATGTTATTTCGGCATTTAAATTATCGGCCAAACACTGAATGAAATTCGACTCAATAGGAAATTGATTTGTTAATAATGATAAATAATGGTTTAACTTATCGTGAGTTGTGATTATTGTTCCAGAACCACTTTTATCAAACTGTGGACGACCAGCGCGTCCGAAAATTTGCAAAACATCGAGTATACCTAAATCCACAAATGAGCCATGTTTTGAGTCATAAATTTCGGTTCCTTTAATAATAACAGCGTGAGCTGGCAGGTTTACACCCCAAGCTAATGTTGCAGTGCATACTAAAACCCGGATTTGTCCTTCAGCAAAATATTTTTCCACCATGTTGCGATCTGATCTGAGCATTCCTGCATGATGCATTGCAATTCCACTATTAAACAAATCTATCAATTGCTTATTCCGACTTTTACTAATTGATTTTTGTGCAATTCCTAGTTGAGCATTATCTTCTGGAGTAAATAAACTCAGTTGACCTTTTTGCTGTGCCAATTCTCTTAATACAGTAGCAGTTCTAGTCGTGGCGTTTCTAGCGTGAACAAAAACCATTACTTGATGTTTTTGTCTCAAAAAATCTACGCATTTATCATAACAAATTTGATCCATTTCAGCTAGTTGTTGTAAAGGTTTTAAAGATTTCACCCCAATAAATGTAGTACTTAGAGGAACAGGTCGAAATCTTGAATCAAAATAAAATAAACCTTTCATTGGATTCACCCTTAAAAACCGGGCGACATCGATATAATTTGGCAACGTAGCTGAAAGGCCAACTATTCGTATCATACTTTGCGAAGACTCCACTAGACGAAGTGTTCTAGCGACTAATGCCTCTACAACAGGACCTCTTTCACCATGTAACAAATGAACTTCATCAATAATTAAAAGTTTTACTAACGTAATCAATGCGACATCACCAGCACCTTTTCTTGTAACAACATCCCACTTTTCGGGAGTAGTAACTAACATTTGCGTTTGCTGCATTTCAAGTTTTGTGAGTTGCATATCACCTGTTAGTTCTCTAACAAGAATATTCAAAGGTTGCAACCGCTTTTGAAAATTTTCAACCATTTCTGCCGCTAAAGCTTTCATTGGAGCAACGTACACGATCTTAAATTGATCTCTATGTATGACACCTTGATCGGTAAACGATCTTATAGTATTAGCTACGGTTAACATTGCTACATTTGTTTTACCGGCCCCTGTTGGAGCACACACTAACATATTTTCATTGCTGTGATACGCTACTGGATATACAACAGATTGGATTCTATTTAGTTCCTTGGTATTTCGAAAGCATGTTTGACCTATTTCATCTAAATTGGAAATCTGAATTCGATTGTTTCCTACACTCAAAGGAGGTGGCTCGGTTGCTGGAATTTTAACTTCCTCGTGTGTTTTTGCATCCTTACGTTCAACATTTTCTGGCAACATTAATTTATTTCCAGCTATAAATCCTGCGTGCAATTTGGCTTCTATTTGAGAATCAAATACAAATGGATATTTTTCGGACACCTGAGAAATTTTGGCAAGTCTTTCAGCAGTTAACATTTCAATATTTTCTTTAAAGATAGGTTGACGGCTTGCTGTTGCTAAAAGATTCTGCTGATGTTGCAACCTTAACTTTGCTGGATTTATTACATCGTCTTCTAAATCTTCCAAATCTTTTGCAACGTTGTTAATTAGTCTATTAAGTTTTTTTTCATCCCTTCGAACTTGCTTTTTTAATTGCCTTTCTTGCTCTGACTGAACTAATACAGTTGCCACTGGAGGAGGTCTCTCTTTAGAAGATTTTTGAATATTTTTCAATTGCTCTTTAGATCTTATCATTGATTTCAGTTTCATTTTTTTTTCGTCATTTTCAAATTTGTCAATTACAACAGCTCTATTGTTCAAAATATCTTCAATCAATTCGAATTTGTCAAAGCCTAAAATATATTTATATTACGATAGTAAAAAATTATGAATTGCTATGCTTAACATTATTTTAAAGAAAGTAACATAAAATTTTCCCATATACCTAAAAATTCAAATAAATCATTTTGAAGTTCGTCATTAGATTTTGTTGATTTAAGTACTTCTATTAAACTGTTTATGAGCTCCTCACCGACGTACGTTGAAAACCAAGCCTTGCTGTATTTTCCACACTTTGCAGAAATGTCGTTACTATTTTCTTTAATTCTTGCATTGTATTCCATTGAAAATGTGAGTGCAGTCTTTGCGTTCGCAGCCAAATTTGGTGACAAATTTTGTAAAAGTTCAAGCGGGACATCATCTCTATCATTGTTTGAAAGATCTACTGTTATTTGCGAACCCCATGTAGTTATACTGCAGGCACCTTCGGAATCAGAACCGTTCAACTCAGCACACACATCATTTGAAATTCTTTCTATATAGCTCCTTGCTTCATCATTCAGCATACAACTAATTTCGTGCACAACAGAACACATTTTATTAGCTAATTGTGGCAATATAGTTCCAAACATATTTTTCAATATATTAATATGTTTATTCATCACAATCTTTACATCTAGGAACAACGTTAAAATGAAAACTGCAGCATCGTTTATAACTTCGGAACTCTCATCATTCCCAATCATTTCACGTGTCATAACCCACAACTTTTGCAAATTTTCCAATAACTTTTTAACATCTTCCTCAGAAGAAACGCTTTCAGTAATTGCATCTTTAAGGCTTTTCCAGCAAATTGACCTTTAAATATATTTTAATTTATAATTCACCAGTTTCAGTTTCTTTTATGAATATGTACATATTTACTTTTTATTTGTTTGAGATCTCCAGAGTTTCAAATTGATTTTTTCTTCACTAGTTAATTTTAAACTCCGGCTGATTTCTAAATCTGTGTTTGCGCGAAGGGCTCTAGACAACCTTGGCAAAGGTAGCATTTTTCAAAATAACTAAATATTCACCTAAACCCTAAAGCCAATTTAAACAAGTCGTTCACTGTTTTGTAATAAGAAGTAAATTTACTTTCCTTGCTGCTTTCGACAAATTCCTCCCTATTATCAAAATTTACTTCCCTTATGAAATTGTTGTTTTTAATGACATTTGGCGAACTGACAACTAAAAATTTAAACGAAGTGTTTGTTGACCACTTGTTTAAAAAATTAAACGATACTCGAATAAAACCATTAAAACATGATTCAGCCGCTGTTAAACGTCCAACTTTAGCCATAAGTATAAGCGGCAGTAATTTTTTTACATTTACCTCGTTTATATGGCAGCTTCAAGCTTACTTGAAGCCTATTTTATGAACATATAAACACTGCTTGACTTGAAATCGGCTTCACTCAAGTCAATCAAAAAATTTTGCCTACTTGACTTGAAATGTTGAAGTAAAAACACCGCTTGAAAGCTTGAGAGCTTGAAAATGACAGAATTTAATATTTTGTCCTAAAATGACAGTAGAAATAGAGTGCTTTATGAATTTGAAACTATTAAGTGTCAATACAAATGAAAGGTAAGTTAATTTTTGAACATATGTACATGATATTTTGTATTTTTATTTTGATATTTATTATTATAAACTTATAATTTTTTGTAGAATATGTCGCAAAGAAATATTTGGAGCAATGAGGAGACGCGGGTTATGCTGGAGCTTTTTAAGGAACAAAAAATTATAGAAAAAATCGATGGCAAAAAATATCCTTCATCCATAATTTTCTGCTTCTTTTCTGAGAATTTTGTATAATTTCAATATTTTTCTTCATGTTATCACTATGTCTTTTAAAATTGATATTTATTCTATTTTTTAATCTTCTTAAAAATTTCACTCTATTTCTATTATTTTTTTTTTATAAAAACTTTGATTATATTTTCCTGATGGATTTTATAATTTTCCATGCACTTTATTAAGAGTTTTTGTTTGTTTTTACAATCCATATTTTCTAATATTAATTACAACTTCTTTTTTTTTTAATTACTTTGTTTTCTATTACTTCAAAGACTGTCAAATTCAAGCTGATTTCAAGCTAAATGTCATTTTCAAGCTTTGAAGCTGACATATTAAAAACGCTGCTTGAGTTTCAAGCTGATTTCAAGTCAAGTACTCAAGCTGCCATATAAACGAGGTAATTTTTCCACAAGATATCTAAATTTCTTTTAACTTATATTTATGTATGTACATAATTCCATTTATTTCACCTAATTTTAATAATAGGTGAAATAAATTGGAATAATTTTAAGAATATAATATAAAATTATTTTTAATATTTTATGCAGATTTCTGTATTTATGAAATATAGAAATATTTATGAAAAAATACAAAAGTAATATGACAGACAACTTTTATATTTCTTCTCAGCTAAATGTTGTGCTATAAAGAGCTATGAAAATATTTGTAATAATTTCGTTTTCTTCTAGGCTTTAGATTTTTTGTATGTTCCCATGAAAATGGCAACTCAGTGGATATAAAAAAAAATCAGCTGTAAAAAACTTCAATTGCATGTGACGTCAGAGATGATATGTGGTTTTTTGTCTATGAGGAATAACAGTGGAACAGAAGTGCCGGATAATTAAATTTTGCTAGTAGAAAAAAAATAACTAATGTACATAATAAAATGAATTTCAACAATTTGTTAAATATTATATAAAAAAAGTGTATTAAAATAATTGTAAAATTGCCTTTAGAAAAGGGGAATAATTTATATTTGTATGTCGTTTTTATATTGTTTATAAATTAATATATTGTACTTATTACTTAAAAAATATTACAATTCTTAGTATAGTTAGTTACAAAATTGTACTCTTCAATCTAACACGACAATATAGTACAGATTTTTTAATTTTAACACCTAAGAGAAAAACATAGGTCTGTATTTTTTTTTATACAATTATAATAATTGTATGTTCAAAATTACATAATTAAAAAATATAATTTGATTATTTCATTCATGAAGGTGAAAAATATGCTGTATTGTCCTCCAAATGTAACTTTATCCCAATTTTGGGTTAATCATGGAATCTCCCACTGTTTTATGGACACAGTATTTACATCAATAACAGCGGGCTTTTTAATAATATTTGGAACATTGGAACTATTGATGTATTGGAAATACGCTACACCTATTACAGATACAAATCAAATACCAAGATCAAAACTTTATAAATTTCAAATATTTTTATTATTTTTATTCCCTTTACTTGTTAATGTAAGATTTGTGTTAAATGGCTTTGTTTATAAAAACGCAGTTATTTACGGCTTTATGGTAAAAATTTTTGAAACCATATTTTATTTAAAAATTATACCTACCTGTATTTTATATTTTCAGATTTTTTCAACAATTTTAACTACCATTTCTTTTAGTTTATCAGTTGCTTTGGTTAGAAAAGAAAGGTATTACTTATTACCCTCAGTTCCAACAAGAGGACATGGATTTATTTTGCTGCTATTTTGGACGATGTTATTTATAGTTGAGAATTTATCATTTGTTAATATGAGACATGAAGACTGGTGGTTCAACCTAAAAACGTTAGCTGCATTATCCTACTTATTAAATAAATTTATAAATAATTTGACTATTTTAATTTTATAGTACAAAAGATAAAATTGAGATGAGTTTATTTATAATACGATATACTTCAGCGTTATTAATATTTATATTGGGATTGAAAGCTCCTGGAATAATGGTACCTATAGGTGTAGAAGAATTGTTATTACCACCAGATGTAAGTTGTTTTTCGTTATACGAATGAGTTTAAAATAATGTAGAGGCAGCTGTTTATAATAATATTTTTTTCCCCTTATCGAAAACTAATCATAAAATTAAATCTGTCACGTAGAGACTTATCACCAAGTTAAAATATTTTGTTTTGATAACTATTTTTGTTTTGTTTTTTTTTTTAGAAATTAAAAGCTTCCATGCTATAAACTATCTTCAATTATTTTCGGATAAAATCAAAAATAAAATTATATAAACACCCACTTTTATTTATTTACTATAATTTATTTTAATATTTTTCAATCTGAAAAATTCACTCATAACTTTGTTCTGGTATTTAGAAATCTTTTTTTAAAACTTTTTTTCAGGAAAATACATCAGCGTTTAGAAATGCGTTCAAAAAATTGCGTAAACTATTTCCATACATATGGCCGAAAAAAGATTTTCTTTTACAGTCTAGAGTTTTGATTTGCATCTTATTGTTAATTAGTGGTCGTGTGATCAAACTATTTCTACCTTTGTATCGGAAAGCTATCGGTAAAATTTTAGTAAACACAATTTTGTTTACATCTTTAATAATTCACTTCTTTTTAGTTGACAGTTTGACGATTGCTCCAATATATTTTCGATGGGATTTTGTTTTAATATTTGTTGCGTTATCATTTTTACAAGGAAGTGGTACAGGAAGTATGGGATTATTAAATAACTTGCGTCAATTTTTATGGATTAGGGTACAACAATATACAACAAGAGAAATTCAAGTAGATTTATTCCGTCATTTGCATAACCTCTCGCTACGATGGCATTTACAACGTAAAACGGGAGAAGTTCTAAGAATTATGGATAGAGGAACTGATTCAATTGACAATTTACTTAATTACATTCTTTTTTCGATTGCTCCAACTATCGCTGATTTAATTGTTGCTGTTATATTTTTTATTGTTGCATTCAATGGATGGTTTGGTTTAATAGTATTTGTTACTATGACATTATATATAGGTAAATTTTTAAATTCTTACTTTATCTTCTTTTTTATTTTTGCATACACCTTTTTATGTACATATGTCAGTTAGTACCATAGTGATCACAGAGTGGAGAACTAAATATCAAAGAAGTAAAAATTTAGCAGAAAATGCAGCTCGTGCAAGAAGTGTGGATTCACTTTTAAATTTTGAAACTGTAAAATATTATGGTGCCGAAAAGTATGAAGTAGACAGTTTTCGTGAAGCTATTGAAAAGTTCCAAGTAATAGATATTAATTCAAAAAATTTTAATAGATGATTATAACTTATACAAAATTGTTTTAGGTAGAAGAATGGCGTACATTGGTTACTTTAAATATTCTCAATACAGCTCAAAATATTATTCTTTGCTCAGGTTTATTAGCTGGTTCAATGCTTTGCGTTTACGATGTGGCAACCATAAAAAATTTAACTGTTGGTGACTATGTATTATTTATCTCTTATCTAGTTGAACTTTATATGCCACTAAATTGGTTTGGAACATATTATCGCGCAATTCAGAAAAATTTCATTGACATGGAAAATATGTTTGATTTATTAAGAGAGGAAGAAGAAGTTTTTGATGCCCCATGTGCTTCTTTATTGCAAGCCTCCGCAGGCAAAATAGAATTTTCAAATGTTAGTTTTGGCTATTCACCAGATCGTATTGTTTTGAAAAATGTAAGTTTTTGTGTTCCTGCTGGCAAAACTGTTGCTATTGTCGGTCCATCAGGAGCTGGAAAAAGCACAATAGTTCGTTTGCTATTCCGTTTTTACGATATTAGTAGTGGAGCAATACTAATTGACGGACAAAATGTTAAAATGGTGACACAAGAATCATTGAGAAAATCCATTGGTGTTGTACCGCAAGATACTGTTCTGTTCAATAACACAATTTACTATAACATTGAATATGGCCGCATTGGAGCAGAACCCGATGCAGTTTTTAGTGCAGCTCGTAGTGCAGATATACATGATAAAATTCAAACTTTCCCAGATCGTTATGATACTCAAGTGGGTGAAAGAGGTTTAAGATTAAGTGGAGGTGAAAAGCAACGCGTTGCTATAGCAAGAACGCTTTTAAAGTCGCCAATTATCGTTCTCTTAGATGAAGCAACAAGTGCTTTGGATACTCATACAGAACGTAATATTCAATCAGCAATTGCACAAGTGTGTGCTAATCGAACTACAATTATTATTGCACATCGTTTATCAACTATTATTCATGCTGATGAAATATTAGTATTAAAAGACGGATCTATTGTAGAAAGAGGTAAACACGATGAACTACTATCATATAATAATGGTGTTTACCGAGATATGTGGGAACAACAATTGAAAAATCTTGATGCTGAAAATAGGAAACAAGAAATTAAAACAACTAGTGATGATAAAAACGATAAAACAACAGAAAACGAAGCTCATGGTCATCATTAAAGAACTTTGTTTTAATTAATTGCATAGTATTGTAGTAATATATAAAGCTATTAATATAAAAAGCAATTTAGGAAAATTTTGATTCATCCTCGCAGATCTTAAAAAAATAATACTTTTACTTTGTTAAAATACACTTGAAAATGTTAAATAAGCGATCTGCTCCAAAGTAATGATTTTTTGTTATAATATTAAAATCATATCGTCGCTATCATCTTTTTTATCATCATATTAAAATCATCGAGATCAATTAAATTTAAGAATACAAAATTTACACTTATATCCTGAGTTTTTCTATTGTGATTGTTTTGTTTTTGTTTCACTTAAAATTAAATGGAAAAAATTGAAGTAGAATGTGAATGTTTATATTTATCAAAAAATATTGGTATGTGGTTTAGTCTATTGTTTGTCAATAGAAAAATGTACTGGGAGAAGAATAAAATCAATAAAAAAACATATTTTTTCAAGCAAAACAAATTTATTTTTTATTAATAGGTATACGTACATATGTATATGTATTACACGCAATGGGGGTTTTTAAAAACCATATATGTAAGTCGAATTAATTTAATCCTATTATTAATGTCGATAATTTATAATTCGCAAAAGTTCCTTAAATCTTATTTCGACCCTCTAGGAGAAATATGTACATAAATACTTTTTCCTATCAAAAAAGAGTATTGCTTTTTTTCAAGAATAAGTGAATTTGAATTGAAAACGTATAACAAACCCGAAGTAGAGCATCGACTATAAAATGTGATCTTGCCAAATTTTCTGCATTTATGAATATTTTAGTAAAAATAGTTGTTATGGGAATTTATATAACAAATTGATTTTTGAAACCTTTATCTATACACTATACAATATCTATACACTAATCGATCCATATAAAATCTTATTTTATCTTTTCATTTTGAATATTCAGGATCAATATGTAAACGTTTATCTCATAAATTAAAACTTAAAGAAATTAATTTTAATGATAAGTTTTTATTTCATTATTAAAATTAACCTAATAAAATAAATTAATTATACAATCATATTAATACATACATATATAATATAAGTATGTACATAATTATGTCAGATTTTATATGCTACTAAAGCCACCCCCTCCTCCACCTTCTTTAATCATTCTTTGTTGTTTCCCATAGAATTTTATTGATGAAATATTAAATCCAAATATAGTATTACATAATCGATCAATATTATTCCACAAAAGCCAAAATAATAATATGTAAAATGCTATTTGAGCAATTATATGTAATGCATATAAAGCACGATGAATTTTTTTACATTTCGGTATATTATCCATCGGTTCTTTTAATATATAACGTCGTATACCTAACATGTATGAGCGAATAAAGTTTTCCCAGCATACTTGATCCAAAAAGCATTCAAATTTTTCTTGATCTCTTGAGTTTAATTTCAACTGCAATTTTTCCAATCGTTCATTTTTAAATACCCATGTTTTCATTGTATAATACTGTAACATTTCCAATCCCATTGAAATTTTACGTTGTATATTAACCAAACTAAAAGGTGTGAGATAAATTTATTGATTTTAAAAACTTAATATTTAATACATATTTTTAAAAACTTCTACAAACTACTAACACAACACATTATGCAGTTTATTTTTAAAAACTATACTTACAAAGGTTTTAGAAATAAGCATCTAAGAATGAAATCTATGAAAAAAGCTGGTAAATAATGGAATAACATAACTTTTAAGTTATGTATAAATCGATTTTGTGTTATATTTCCAGCAGGATACCATATTGCAAAACTTAATGGAAATTCATTAAGTATTCTACGGCCACATTCAATTGATTCACCCCATGTTATACAATATTTATTAGATACAACCAGATTATAAAACTCCGCTTCATCTACTTTAATTTGACCACGATCCCATGTTGCAGCAATAATACCATTTATAGCTGTATCAACTGGAATCGATGTTGCGGGGTAATCCGGATTGCCTATTAATATTAAAATATTAACTTAAAGGAAACAGATGGAAGAATTATAAAATAATTTTTCATCTACACTGAAAATGTATCTCATTGTACCTACAGTTTCAAAAATCGTGTTTACTTGAATACCATATATACACACCAGATGTATGTACGTATGTACATACATACATATGGAAGTACAGCTAATAAATGATACTTACATAACATAGTTCTTATTACACCACGAGCACCCCCAACCATTAAACCTGTTGGACCATTAACACCTTCAACCCATCCTGGCATTGGTTCTTTTAAAGCTGCTACAACTAGAATTTAAAAGTTACATTAATGTATGTAAGTTATGAAAATTATCAAAAAAATTTTCAAACAAATTTCAAATTTTAATTAAATAATATGTTTAAAACTGTTACACTAACCTATAGATGGCCGGCAAACAACAATTGGTAACCGTTTTGCATATCGACATATTAAAGCTTCAGTAACAGCTTTACTAAATGCGTATGTATTTGGTAATCCATCCAGTAAGCTGAAAAAATTAAATTTTTTGCGTTATACTTTAAATTCAATTTGTATTTACATATTTTTTACGTAATATCTACATATTATTATTTACATTTATATAAACTTACCCTGGAGTCATTCTATTTAACACATCATTATCTAAACTCCTACACATTTCAAGTATTTCAAGTGGGTCATGATCAATTTCGTATTCCCTTTCTTCCAATACATCTTCTTTGCAATGACTATATGACGTTGATACGTGTGTAAAAACTTTTAAATTTCTTATTTTTTCAGCTAATTTTAACATTTTTTCTGTACCACCAAGATTCATTTCAATGATTTGTTTTAATGGCTGATCAAAACGTACATTAGCTGCGCAATGTATAACAATATCAACATTTTCTATTAATTCATTATGATCCAATTCATCTAAACCCAATTCAGTTTCAAGTATATCACCTTTTATTAATTTTATTTTATTAAAAATTTTGCTATTATTGTTATTTTCTAAAAGTCTCTGAAAAACCTGTTGAAAAACAATATTATTTAGACATAGTATTATTTGTAATAAATGTACATACATACATATTATGTATATAAAGTGCAATATAAGAACAATATAAGATTATACACTGCTGCGTGCGTACTTTCCTTCAAGATTCAATCAAATATATTTTTAACATTTAATTATTAAAATTAAATAATAGTATAAGCCCACAGACCATTTTATATTTCAAAAAATTAAATTTTAAATTATTTGTCCGTTTTTACACTGTACCATTGAATAATTTTGTTGAATAACATTTAAGTCGACACATTGTATATTGAGAAAGGAAAAATTTGAGTTGAAATATAAATACCAAATATTTCAACAGAAACTAAAAACAATAATTGATAGTTCTAATGAAAATAGTTTTCATGATAACAATTCTTAATTCTTGAATTTTCAAAGATTGCTATAAAATTTTGAATTTGCAATCAAATGAATTTAAAAAATCTTATTCAAGAATATTATCTTGAGTGTGATGCAATTTAATTAAGTCTAAAAGAAATATACATATACTTACTTCACATTTAAAATAATCATCACGTCGTTTTTCTGGATCAACTCCACGTTTTGAACGTATCAGCAAATATAATTGTTTTAAATCCGGACAATCTCTTAGTAATTTTTCCACTAAAACTTTACCCATAAATCCAGTTGAACCAGAAATCAAAATATTTTTTCCAGCAAACCATTCTGGTATACCATTTGTATATAAATTATTTTCAATTTCAGACATATTGGAAGATTTTTAATTATTTTAACTCTTTTCAAAACATATACATTCGTTAATGTATTATAAAAATTGAAAATTAACTTGAAATATTTGAAAAGTGAGGAAATCTGAAAGTTGAAAAAAAAAATGTTTTAATGATTAAATTAATTATAACAAAAACAAAAATTCAATATTTTGTACTTTTAAATTAAAGTACTGGTTTAGTATTATTTCTAATCAACAATATTTTTATATAACAATTATACAAGAACGAACAAGTTTAATTGCAACCCGCATATAAGCAAAACTTTTTTATAAGCATACATTAGTAGTTTTTTGGAAATGTGTTTTAGAAATTGTTCAATTATTCATAGTTTTATGTCTCGGTAACGCTTAACTGCAACTCGCTTAATAACACAAAATTTTTATAAGATGAGTTTGTAAATTGCTTGGCATGTCGTGGTTTCAGATTTTTGCTCAAAAAGCTATTAACGTTTCTCATTTATAATAATAAAGAGCTAAATGTGAATGAAAACTACTAGAAATACGTATTTTTGGTTTAAGCAGTTTTCCGTATTTTAAAAAAAAAAAATTATAAAAATATTAAATTTATATATTTAAATATATATTTGTTTTGACGCAGATTATCATCACACAAATTGTATGATTAAATTCCAAGATGTTGAAACATACTCTTTGTTCATTAGTATAAGAGTTAAATTTTCAAACTCCTACTTCATCTATTGAAAAGATAATTTGAAATTATTCCATATATAGAAATTTTTTTTTGAAAAAAAAAATAAGAGAATCTTATGTATAATTTTCTAATAATTTAATTTAGTATTTATATTGTAAATTATTAAATACTGTTATTTATTCACAATAATGTATTTATTCACAATAATGTATACATTCACAGTATATAGCATATTATATGGGTAACCATAATAATATTGTAATATATAAGAATGAAGCGTTAAAGTTAAATATTTACAAATATTTTAGCAAATATCAGAGGGAGGCATAATTTGACAAAAAAAAAAAAAAATTGGTAGTTTTCAGTTTATTTTTCTTTTTAACTTAATAAGTAAATAAAATTAGGCTAAAAGATATTACTTAAGTTTTGTTTTAAAATTTTTTTATTTTTATACTTTTATTTATTGTTATACTTTTAAACTGGTTTTGATTTTCTTTTTTGTTTTTTATCAAAGTGCACATACAATTTATCTATATTTTATACATATACATATGTGTTTATGTATGTACATCAAATCAAAGAAATTTTCCTCAAAGTGAACTGAGATTATTATTATTAAAACTAAATTGCGATGGGTAATCATTATTTTCATATTCGATTTTATGCAATATTTACAAATTTATATAATATTAGCAATTTCATAAACGCAGTATTTCACGACATACTTTATAATTAAAACTGCGTTCTATAATTAAAGAACTTTGTTTTGTGTGATAATTAATTTTATTATTTTAATTGTATACTGGAAGTGTTTTTAAGAATATCAAAAATTAGAAAAATATTTTTCTCGTTCTCTCTTCTTTTTTTTCGATACAGCATTATGCGATAGTGTAAATAAATAGAGATATGCAGAAAATCGATTTAAAATTCGATTTTCATTCTCAGTATAAATCTGTCAACTATTAATATTTATTAATAGTTATTAATAGTTGACAGAATACTATTATTGTAATTACTGGACTTTTTTCTGTGACAGTTCTCTTTTAAGGCAACCGACTTTGTCAAAAAATAAAATCGGTGCATATTACAATTTTCATTCTTATTGCAAATTAGTTATCGTTAATATGAAAAATATATTATAAGATGAAGTTACCGTAAATACATATTTAAAAATTTTGAATAATACAAATAAATAACTACAAATAATAATATGTATATACATATATTCATTTCATATATACATACGTAGATGCTTTAGAAATTGAAATCTTATAAGGAAAATCTTCATTGCCCAAAAAATTATATTTGAAATTGCCCAAAAACGCAATTTAAAGTACACATAAGGTATAAGAAATAACATTAAAATAAATAAATCTATTTTTATGTTTATTTACTTTATTACGGTACAAAGCTTAATTTACAAATATATATATATACTTATACATATATATAGACAAAATGTACTTATGGTCTTTTTTTATATTGTTTTATATTTATACAAGATTTTTTGTCAAATTAACAAGTGGTAAATGGTAGTAAAGTAAATATGTATAAAATATGTAAATTACAAAAGTACATTTGAATACAATAACAACGTCTTTATTTACAATCTATTAAAATAAGATGAATATGTTACCATCCGGTTGAATAATGTTTCATCATTATATAACATTATGTTTTTACTATACAATCTAAGCTATATTAAGCTATATGTGCAGATACATTAGGTGCAATTAAAAGTTTTTTTGTTTTTTGGATATTTTGGAACACGTGTTGAATGTCCCATTTTAAAATGTATGTATGTATGTTTTTATGTCTTACATTTACAAAATAAGAAAATTATTCCAAATTTTTATTGCTGACTATATACGATATTGTTATGTAAAATTTTAATTTCAAATTGTAAATGAAAATGATGAGTTTTTTTGTCATTGACCGTGAAATTTTCATCATTGATTAGAGGAAATTTTTATTGGCGCTAAAATTGTTTTCCTTCTTTTTAAAAATTTTTTTTTATTTTTAATGTTAATTTTAGTTTTAATTCCGCTTAATAAAAATATGCTCATTTTATTAAAGCAAAAAATTATAATTTTTTATTTAATAAATTTAAAAATAATCGGCAATTTTTTTCTTAAATTTGAAAATTAATGTGGTAAAAATTTTTTTAGAAATTATAACATATTTTATATATATACCCTAATTAAGTATTATGGATTATTCTGAATTTGACATATAAACAAAATTTATGGCAAGGATATAAGTAAACAGTTCTTGGTTATATAATAATTGTGAATTTTCTACTTTAAAACTGACTTTCACTTTTCATTAAGCGCTTCAGAATAACACCCTAAATGTATGTATGTGTGTACAAATAAAATAGGTCATTTTTTAAACTAAAGGAATTTTTACATAAAATTTATTTTATTAACTTTTACTTTCAATATTAATGCACATTAATACGTATTTTAAGGCATAAGTTATTGCATATTTTGAAAGTTTTGTGTGTCCATTCAGGTTCTTAATAATTTCATAATAAAATTTTTCTCTAAAATTTTTTTATTTATTTTTGTGTCTTCTTTAGCATATTTCTAAGAGTATTATACGAAAATATGCTTATTACTATTATTCGGTTGGTCCATTTATCTGTTTACAGAATTGCTGTACTTTTTATGATAAAATTTAGAATTAAGCACAAAAGCAGAACTTTAGAAAATAAAAATTATATTCCTATAGGCAAAAAAAAGTTTAAATTATCTGGTTTTAAAAACAATATTCTATTGTTATAAAACACAGAAAAATGTCAATACGACTTCAATCGATTAAATTAATTGTTATTTTAAAATCATTTTATTTTTATTTTGTGAAATTACCTCATTAGAAATTTTGTACAGCTTTTAAATATGGCTAAATAATGTATTTTTAGTTAAACAATTTTTTTCTATTTCCTCGCCCTCCTCCGTCTGTCAAAATTAACTAACAAATTATTAGCTATTTATGAAATTTTAATAGGCGTAACTAGAAAAATGGAAATTTAGCTTTTATAATAGGTTCAAGTTAGGCAATCCCAAATGTTGATCAATCCTGGCATGACAGAATATGGCGAGTGGACAAGCAAATAGAGTGACATCTCGATAAAAATTAATTGTTTTCATTTCCCTATTATCAAAATTTAATGCAATCATATAATTTTTCTCATGACATACATTTATCAGTAAGGTTTGCAAAAAGGTTTTTTAAATTTTTAAAATAAGGAAATGTGCTATTTAAAAAATTAATAAAAAATATTGATTCAGTATTTTACGATGCAATGCAAATTTTTAATAAACAAAATTGCCTTTGAATTTTTTATTGATATTCTTGTCCCAATTAATTTTACTGCATGCAAACATATGCAAGTTTCAGTTCAGAAAAAAATAAACCAAACCTTTATAATGAATGGGTATGACGTATTTATGTAATATTATATTATGGTATACATATTGAGATGTTGCACATGTATATATATATATATATATATATATAAGTGATATAGAGATATCAATCTACATGATTACAGGATTTCACTTTTGTTATGGACTACTGAACTTTTTGACTTATATTCCAAATTTTCGTATTAAGACAAAATAAAATGTAGGAGATTTAAAGGAAAAACAAGTTGTGGCGGCCAATAATACAAAATACCAAATACTCAATATACCGTTGCGCCTTTTATCTGAATGTAGGTTATTAAAGAAAAAAGTGGTTAAAAAACAAAATAAAAATTTTCTCTCTTTTTGAATGAAATTTTTTCTTTGCGCCTTTTACTTACGTCGTTAATTATATAAAAGGTACATAATATGTTTATATATACGTATAAAAAGTGGTATTTATAAATCAAAATCTCAAGGTGAAAGAGTTACACAATTTTTTTCAATATTTTTAATACAGGTATTTATAAAAACAATATATGTAAATAAGTATGTATTTATTTTATAAAAAAAAGAAAAGCAAATGAACAGGACTCTTAGCCAATTCTTTTATAGTTTTTTTTTCAATGCGTCATAATATTTTTTATTGCAATTTTTTTCAAAGACTGAAAAGACTCACTTATCATATTGTAAACACTATAAAAAATTTTTGTTAATTTTTATTTTTCACATATTATGAGTAGTAAATGGAATTTAAATAGTAGTTAAGAATGGTAATTAAAGATTGTAATCTGAAAATAATATACTTAGTTGGTTAATAATAATTACAAAGCATCCAAAAAAATAATAGCCTCGATGTATAAAAGCTTATTGTTTTGCTAAATTTTTTAAAATATTTTGATATTTTAATAAATTTTTTGTTAATTCTTCTTCCATAGAAAAATATGTGAGTTTAAGACATGGATGTCAACTAGATTTTCTTCCTGAATTTTAGTGTTTTTAAAAAATAAATGAATATTTTCTG